TTACTGATCTCCACACGCAGCAGGCACACCGGAAGTGCACACTTAGATCGATGTGCAAGCAAAGCCTATACAGAAAATAAGATAATGTTCAAGTAGTTTTGTTTTACTAAAATGTTTCTCAAATTTTCAAAATTTACACTAAGCCTGCAGTGTTAAAGAACTGTGAGGTTGAGCCTCAGCCCTCTTCAGATCTTGCTGGCATTGTTGGATGTCCTTGCCTACCCCAGGCCCTGATGCATGCATTGAGCCACAACTCTCTACCAGTTTTGAGATGGTTTGTGACAAAAGAGCCCAGGCTTACATTCTCCCTGAGGCAAGGCCTTCTTCACTCCTGACACCTACAAGCTATTCCTGAAGGTTTTTTTGTTGCAAAATTCTAAAGAATTACCCTTACGGGTCCAGGAGTAAGAATGTCAAAGGGCTTTTTTCTTTCTTAGTTTTGTTTTGTATTTTGTTTTCCTTCTCAAGGCAAGGTTTCTCTGTGTAGCCTTGGCTGTCCTGGACCTACCTGCTTTATAGGCCAGGCTGGCCTCGAACCCACAGAGATCCGCCTGCTTCTGCCTCCCTGAGTGCTGGGATTACAGGGGTGTGCCACTGCGCCCCACTAAAGGCCTTTTTCTTCCTTTTTTTTTCCCTTCCTTTTTTTATTCAAACAGGGTTTCTCTGAGCACCCTCGGCTGTTCTGGAACTCTAGGATTAAAGGGGAGTGCCACCACAGTGAGGCTGTCAGAGGACTTTTTAATTGAGAGTTTAGCTATGCAGCCCAGGTTAGCCACTAACCTCAGGTTCCTGAGTGCTTTTTATTATTTTATTTCAATATATTATTCCTGAAATTTTATGTGTGTGTCTGTGTGAGTGTACACCATGTGTTTGGGTGTCTGGAGGCCATAAAGGGGGTGGGAGTCCGATCCCTTGGGGCTTAGTAACTGGCAGTAGATGCAGGGAACCAGACTCATGTCCGTATCTTAGTATCCATAATAAGTATTTGAATAACAGTAAACTTTAACCTTTGAAATCCTACTGTATAGCATTTCTAGAGCTGGGGTAGGAGTTGGGGGCGCTCTGCTATAAATGTAGGCTGGACATTTTATCTACTAAATAGAGGCTCAACATTGTATGAAGAACCCATCGGATGGGTGCTTCAGACACAAGGTTTCATTTAACCTAGGTTAGTCCCTGGATTCACTATATAGAAAAAGATGGCCTCAAATTTGCAATCCTCTAGCCCCCTGAATGTTGACAAGACAGGCCTGAGTCAACCATTACAGGCTTATTTCTGGTTTTTTGTTTGTTTGTTGGTTTCCCCCTCTGTCGACAACTGTCCTTTTTGGGGAAGATGGGCATGTTGAGAGGAGGTCACACTGTGCTGCTGTGTTAGACCTGGAACTTACTATAGAGTCAGTCCACCTGCCTCTCAGGTCATGGGGTTAAAGGTGCCCCAGCAAAAACATTGCAATCTTTTTATTGTTGTTGTGTTTTGAGACAGGGTTTCTCTGCGTAGTCCTGTCTGTCCAGGAACTTGCTCTGTAGACTGGAGTTCCATCTGCCTCTGCCTCCTGGATGAGTTATTTCATGCATGTTGTGTGAGAGATGGGGCTAGAGGTTGTAAGGCACCTGGCACGGGTGCTGGGAAGTGAACCCACATCCTACAGGTACATCACGCGCTCTTAAGCACTGAGCCATCTCTCCAGCCCTTGGCACGTCTGGCCTCTTGAACACCTTCTCTTAAGTTTCATACGCATCCTGTTAAAACTCACGGCTATCTAAGTTCTGGGCGCTTTCATTAACTACTTACCCGGCCGAGATGAGCCTTGCCTTTACCTAGTAACAAGTTGTGGAGAACAGCACTGCTTCCCCGTTTCCTAAGTCACCAAGTGCCATGTTTCATGTGTTCACAACACAAGCGGCTCACGCTTAGCACACCTGCTCTCTGAGCATGATTTGTTTTGGGATTGCAGGTGATACACTAGTTTGAAACATGTTCATATCATTGCGTCTTGGTGATGTTGCTAGATACCGAGCCGTCGGTGTGAGGGACACTGCTCTCTGCAAGTCATGTTCTCACATTCAAGAAGAACACATGGCACTTGGATAAGGGAGGCTGCGCTGAGTGACTGACTACTAATGGGACCGTACAGTGACATGGCAGCTGGCAGCATGCTTGGGCACTTCCATGAAAAACACAAGCCCCTTGAGAGGGCTCAGAGGGTAAACAAAGCCTCTCACTTTGAACTCTACATACTACGGAGAGTGTACTAACACAATAGCATGCACGAAAATAAATACTTCGTAACAGGAAGGAAAATGGGATTGGGATGTCCTGCAAGGTTGAACCCCAGCACCAGCTAAATGATGAGTAAGTGTTACCCACCCATCTCCAACCTGATCATACATGGCCATGCCTACGTCTGGTTCCACAGACAGGTTTTTCATGTTTGTTTGCTCTGTCTGCATTGGTCTTATGTTTAGGTCAGAATCCCTTGATTTTGATATAAATGTTTTAACAAAAAGATGAACATCATGTGGGTACTGGGATAGGTTGGGTGTGCACTTTTCTTCTCTTTTCTCTCCCCTCCCCCTCTTTTGAGATAAAATCTTGCTGTACAGCTGTGCCTGGCCTGATACTATGTGTCCCAGGCTGACTTTAAATTCACTGCAGTGCTCCTGCCTCAGTATCCCTTGGGTGCTGTAGTTGCAAACATGGATATGTTTTTGTTTGTTGTGTGAGTATGTGAAGGGTCTCATTCTGCCTTAGCCTCCAGGGTATGGTAGAGTTAGCCAACTTTGCTGTCACCATGTCTAGCTTCAACAGTGTGCCGCCCCACCCCCACCCCCAATCTGTGAATTAGTTTAAAAATTTGTGCATGGCAGGGCAGTTCAGAGGATGTTGTAAAGAGGGAAATCTGGGAACAGGGGAGTATGTAGCTCTTTAGGAGAGCACTTGCTTAGCATGCATGAGTCCCTAGGTTCAAGCCACAGTACTAATAAATAGATAACTAAATAAATGGGAAAACGATACATGCTGAACAAGGAAAAGTGCGCTTTCGTGGCAGCCTGAAAACCTCAGAAGGGAGGGTGATGAAACACAGGCCTTCCGGCCCTAGCTCTCTTCAGAGTTTCTGGTTGTGGGAATCTGTTCTGAATCCAACTGCAAGTGGAAAACCCATTTTTGGCCTCACAGCCAGGCAAGCCATCCTGCCAATCCGTGCAAATGTACTGCAGAAACTTTGGCCCCGGGAGGCAGGAGCTTGGGCTTGCTTCCCGAGATCTGTGCAGCTGTCAAGGTGGCTGTGATGGGACTGTGACCAGCCCCTGTACAGCTTTTTGGCAGTGACCTTGGGACCAGCCCAGCTTGCCACAGCTATTCTGGTCCTCTGCCACCAGAGTCTTTGCGGCTGTTGGAAGAAACGCAAGGGCGCGAACAGGAGACTGCGCTTGGTCCTGCCTTTCCTGGTGTCTGCTGGCAGGTGGCACTGCCAGCTCCCAATGCCTACCACACACCGAGCATGGGTGTAGTCTAGGTGTGTGTGTGTGTGTGTGTGTGTGTGTGTGCGCGCGCGCGCGCGCGGTGGCGGAGGCTCACCCCCTCCCCTCCTCCCACCCGCCCCCGCCTCAGGCTCAGCTCTTGGGGAAGTGGCTGGTTGACCACTAAAGCCCTGTGCAGGCAGGCTCCACCTGGAAAACCCAGTTGGTGGCTTGAGAAGAGAGGCTTGGCTGTGGCTGGTGAACTTGGGAGGAGAGGAGCCAGAAATGCCCTTACTCCCCACAGGTTCAGACTGGAGTCCGCCTTCTGGTGGGGCGCGGACTTCTGTGGGCGCTGAAGGTCATCCTGGCTTACGCACAGCCTTCCATCTCTGTAGTCACCTAGAGAGCGGCAAGTGTATTTTCAGAACTCCACCCCCTCTCCTGTCCACATCCTGTCCTTTTTCTGTTCGGAGCGGCCGATTGTTATTTTTCAGTCCCACTTTGTTGTTGGACATTTATTGACAGAAATCAAATCGCCGTTTCTAGGCCAAGCGCCGGCTGCACCGAGGTGTGGTTCCCAGGAATGAGACACGCAGCCCAACAGCTGAGCCTGCGCTGTCCTCACTTAACCTCCCTGCCTTCAATATCGCCAATATTTAGCCTTGCCTTATAAAGTCAAAATGCACAATACCTTCCAGGGTTGCTGTGAGCCCCGATGCCCCCTTTGGCTCAGGGCTATCTCCTGCCTGGTGATACCGAGCAGCGCGCCCCTCCCTGCGCCGACCTGCCCTGGTGCCACCCGGAGGTTCCTGCTCAGGGAGACTCCGCCATCGATCCGGCGGTGGCGACCTGGGGGATTTGCGAACATTGTCTTTTGCAGAAGCCTCCTGTGATTTCGGTGGCGGCGACCAGATCCTCTGCAGAGAACTCCATGTCGCAGCTTGTGGCTGCCTGTGTCCTGTGGTGAGAGCCCAGCCTCACAGGAGATCCTTTGTCTGGGCTAGTGCTAGGCTGCGAAGATCACTTTGGAGTCTCTAAGCTCTGCCTTGCCATTGGCTGCACTCTTTGTGGGGCTGTTTTTGCAAAAGGCATGCCCAGCACGTCTACAGTGCTGGCAGGCCAGGGCTGCCTTTAAACACCATGATAATGATACCAAAAGCAGTTTGCAGAGCTGCTCTCTGTGGAGGCTTCCTCTGCAGAAGCAGGCAAGATGGCTACCTCGTGGGCTTCGCCGTGAAGAATGCAGAGGCTAATTAAGACAGACTTTTAGGGGGAAAAGGGCATTTCCCTCCATCTTTATTTATGCAAGGTTGTTGGTTGTTTTTCTTTCCAGTGACTTTTAAAGTATACATTTTATATAAGCTCTTCAGGGTCTGACTAACATGTTGATGGTATTAAATGATATAAGTAATTTTTTACAGAGAAGTAGCAAAAAAATTTTGGGAGGGTGGAGGGTGGGAGTTGATATATATATATATATATATATATATATATATGAAGGCTCATATTTCAATTTACTTTTTTTTAAATTTTAGGTTACAAAAGAAAACAAGAGGCCCCAGAGGGAAAAGAAGCCCAAAGTTTTAAAGGTAATCAGCTGTTGATTAAATGACATTTTTTTTCCATTTCATACAGTATTTTTCTGTCACCTGAGGGTGAATTTGCAGTCCAGTGGATGTGGATTCTCCCAGGTTGTCAGTAGTTCCATGGGTTTTCACTCCATCAGACAGCGTCTCTCTCTGCCTCCTTCCTCCCCCTTATGTCCACATTGCATCCTTTATTTTCAGCTTCTTATGAGGGTTGCACAGCCAGAAAAGTTTCTATGCAAAGTGTTGGCTAATCCCTTCTCCTCCCCAGCTCCCTTGCCACCACCTGCATCTGAGTGTGCACCCTGTGGACCTAAGCTCCATGCCAGGGAAGTTGACAGCTATGACTCATTGATTAAACTTTTTTTTTAACACCTAGAAAATACTATCGTAAAATCTGACTTTTTTCCCCCCCAAAGCGGGGGAGGGGGAATGACCTTAGAGGTTTTAGTTCAACTTCAAGTGCACTGAGACCTTATAGCTAAACTCTAATTGCTCCATATGAAATGCTCCCTGTGTCATCTTTAATTTTGGCAGCCATCGATTTTAAGGATTCAGCATGTTTTCCTTACTCTGTATAGACTGCATGCTGAGAGTCCAGCAGTAAGCCGGTTTGGTTGTTAGCTCGGAATCTGTTTGCAGCCTCTGTTATGGTATGAAAGAGTTAATTTAAAAGCCTATGGCCTCACTAGAAGTTTGAGGCTAGCCTTAGCCGAGCCAGTTGCTTGCAGGTTTAAGATTTAAAGCACTCGCTGCAGTACTGTAAACGTTAGCAAGCGTTTTACGTGTAGCGGGAACACTAAGCCGGACCTGTAGAATGTTTAATGTAGAAAAGGATTTAAATGTAATGATAGCTTTGTGTTTGCAAGCAGTTTTAGCCCTCCGGTGTGTTGAATTGTGGCAGATTCTGATCTTATTTGCCACCCGGTTGTGTGACTTGGAAATGTTGGCGCTGAGCGCTGGGCATTGCCTTGCTTGCTGGTTTCACTGACCACCTTGAGGTTCTGTTTCCTGTGTGCACACAGAAAGGGCATGAACATTATTCATCAAACAAGGGGTGCTTACTAGAAATCAACCCCAGAGTCAGCAAAGTGCTAGGCTTTGTGAGATGAGGGTAACTATCTGGCATGCATTATTCATGAGGCCTGGACAAATCAAGTAAGGGTTGCATGTAGGGTACTCTAAACTAGTGTGTGTGTGTGTGTGTGTGTGTGTGTATGTTTCATGTGATTGATCCACTGGCAGCCTTTTCTCTCCCCAACTATAGACTATCACTGACTTAAACCCCTATGTTGCCTGTTTTGTGAGTGGAGGCAGAAGGGCTAGGCATTCAGGGCTAGCCTTGGCTACATAGTGAGTTTGAGTCTAGCCTAGGTTACCTGTCTTAAAAACACAAAGAAGCAAATTTTGGTTTTGCTGTTGTAACGGTTCGTAAACGGGTGGGTGTGTATACTTGTGCATGTGTGTGCGCGCGAGTGCTTGCCCGTGCATGTGCACTTGTGCAAGCAAGAAACAGTGCGTGCAGAACTAATCATGGTTCCTCAGTTCCCTCCAATGGTGAGACACAGGACGGGCTGGGAGGTGTTGTTTAATCCTGTGTTTTGTCTGTTTTTGCCTTTTGTCACCGGTTGCGTGTCGGAAGTAAGGCAACGTGTTTCTTTGGGGACTCAAGCAGCAGTAGACTGTGACCCTTGTAGTTTTTAAAGGAAATGTCTGTGGGTGGCCTAATTTCTTCTGCCCCAGTAAGCAGGACTGTATTTTTGTTTACTGGCCTTCTATTGTTGGTGTCTGTTGAAGAATAGAAGGGAACTGAGATAAAAAGAAACAAAACCATTGTTGTTGTTGATGTTTTCCTAGAATGAAAATGTTTCTTTTGGGAGGGTGGATTTCGAATTCAGGCTTTCTCAATGTAGCTCTGGCTGTCCTTGAACCAGGCTGGCTTGGAACTTAGAGCTGCCTGCTTCTGTCTTTCAAGGGCTGGGACTAAAGGTGCTTGCCAACACTACCTGGTTGAAAATGTTATTTTGAATTCCATGTACATTTCTGTGTATGTGCCAGTGAGTGCAGGGAAAAATGGAGTCCAGAAGAGGGTGCCAGATCTCTGTGCACTGGAGTTACAGGTGGTCTGAGTCACCTGACGTGGGGAAAGGTGAGAGCAATCTGTTTCCTGACTAAGAGATTGGCTGCCTCTGCCTCCCTAGTGCTGGGATGAAAGACAAAAGGCACTCAACACCACGGCCCGGCTCACCTCTGTAAATGTTTCTGTGCTTTAAGAAGGGGGTCTCACCATGTAGTATAGCAAGGCCTGGACATTGCTGTGTGGCCCACTCAAACTCAAACTTCCTTGTCTCAAACTCGTAAATGCAGAATTTCCAACATGAGCCAATATTTCTGGCCAAACTAAATATGTTTAATGTTGGGACCTTAAAATAATGTTTTTAATTATTAAATTTAAGGTATTTTAAAAATATCTTGACAATTTCATGTATGTGTATAGTGAATTTTGATCTTAATCACCTTTCAGTATCCTGTTATGCCTACACACATGAAAATAAAACCTTAGAAAGCTTTGTTTCTCTGCGTCATATTAGAAGCACTCACTCAGATTTGAACCATAGTTGTGGCAGAGTGAGCTAGGGGAGACAGCCTCATAGCTGTGGTGTTCTTTGGCATGTTTTGCAGGATTTAGAGACAGTGGCTAGCCCTCAGCTGAACTCAGCTAGTTCTGACTAGACCCTACGCAGGGGCTCAGTGGTAGGACTCTGCGTTCGGAATTTGTCTCCCATCTCACTTGTATTTGTCCTGACTCCTTAGACATTCAAATAGTCCCCTGCCAGAATGAGTGGGCAAATGACTCATTTTCAGATTTTTTTTCTGTCATTACCTACCTAGGAGGTAGTTAGATAAGAAACCTGATGTTGGAGGACATTGAAATTAAGGCGTACATTACATCCTGCTTTGATTATGCTAACTCCCGCGTCCAGTTGTAGGACTAAGTTTGCATTATCTCGTTTCTCCTTACTTTTTTTTTTTTTTTTTTTTGAGGGGGTGGGCATGCAGGTTCTCTTTATGTAGACTAGGCTAGCCTGGAACTCATAAATATCCACCTGTCTTTGCCTGTCAAGTGTTGGCGATTACAGGCATGAGCAGCTGTGCCTGGGCTCTTTCATCTTTTAATAACAACAACAACTTGGTTGGTCCAGTTGGTTCCATTCCTTATTTATGTAAGGTGATCTTTTTGTCAGACAGTATTTCACTATGTAGTCTCGGCTGGCCTGGAATTTGCTATATAGACCAGGTGTGTCTCCTTCATGAGTGCTGGGATTAAAGGTTTGTGTCACCATGTCCTGCCTGTGCATGTGCCTGTAGCGGTCAGAAGAGGAGTTAGATTCCCTGGGACTTCAGTTCCAGGTGTTTGTGAGCCACCCTGTGGGTGTGGGGAGAACCTGGTCCTCTGCGACAGGTGCTCTTGAGCCATCTCTCCTGTGTCTTTTTTTGGCTCGTGGGTTATAGATGTCTATACCAACACATCAGAGGTTTGAGCCAGCCTATAAAGGATACACTCTGAGCCAGTGTGATCCCAGCATGTGGAATGCAGAGCTCAACCCCCAGAATCCAACCTCCACAAGTTGTCATTTGACCCCAAATGCTTGTGGGGAGGGGGGACTTGGAAGAAGCATGAGAAGACAGAGAGGGGCGAAGGGGCCCCTCTGTTTTGAGGGATGTGACCAGAGTGTATCACTTGTGTAGGAAATTATGCAAGAGTAAGGAAATGACTTAGTGTTTGGCTTGGTTTGGTCTTTTTGAGAACTTGGTGGTCTTCTATAAAGGATCAAGCCCAGGATTATGGAGACAGTAACTCCACAACTACACTTGAACACATGTAACAGTCTTCGCTTGGATCCTGTTCCTTCATTGCCAAGGGACATTTGCTAGTACTTGGTTGTAAAATATTATTAATGTAGTCTCATTATTTAAAATAAAGATATGTCAGTGAATATTAAACCAGGAAGCTGTCTGTAGAGGCAGCTTCTGAGGAAGTGATTTTGAAGCAACCCTCCTCCTCTTAGTGTTTCCTTCCTTGATGATGCTGATAAAGGGGGAAACATCAGTGGGGTGGGGGAAACAGGGCATTAGGCATTAGGCTTGCGTCACACTAGCAGAAGACTGGGCACTTGTATGTATCATGTATCTATGTGTATGTGAACACGTAGTCTTGAATATATTCATAATATTTGGAACCATTCCCTTGCCTCATTTGAATGTTCTATAAAGGTTTTTTTTCTGAGCAATAATATTAACAAAAATGAGTAAGTGGTTTTCAAGTACATACAAAAAGATGGGGCCACAACGGTGTTTGTAAAGTGTGTGTGCTTGTGTGCGCGCACACACACACAAAGTCCAATGTGTTTCCTGCTCTAGGAGATTATCAGCTAACAGGGAAAGGCAAACCTAAAAAAAAAAAAAAAAAAAAAAACTCAAGTGAATAAATTATAATTTGTGCTCACTGCTTGGCAGGGAAGGAAGACTTGGTGCTTTTTGGGTGTTTGTTTCACAGTGCTCTGAAACAGGATGCAGGGCGGCCACCAGGATTTTCAGTTGCCTCTTTGAGACTATTTCCTTCACTTGTCAGCTGTTACTATGTATTCTTTGCTACATAGACTTGATACCTTGTTTGCTTTTGGAACCTATTAGTCTACTCATGTGTAAAAGGATAACAGAATAAGTAAGGAGCCTCCCCCACATTTACTTGCAACTTCGTTTAAATTGTTACCAATGATATATTTATCTGTTTACTAGTTGCTACATTGGTGTTTTGCCTGCATGTCTTTCTGTCTGAAGATGTCAAATCCTTTGGAACTGGGGTTACAGAGAATTTTGTGCTGCTCTGTGGGCACTGAGAATTGAACCCAGGTCCTCTGAAAGAACAGCCAGTGTTTCTAACCATTAAGCCATCTCTTCGATCCATTTAAAATTTTAAAAGAAATATTGGGGGAGGGATA